GGGAAATGCTCTAACCTTAAGTGATTACTATTCTTACTGAGAATTGCTTTAAGAGTATTAGTTTTTTATAGACGATTAGATAGATTAGTGTTCTATAGAATATAAGATTGAGGAGTCGCTATCAAATAAGTAAGCCCTGTTACATAAGACTGAAATGAACTCTGTGAAAATTAAGTTCAAAGATTTCAAAATTTCTATCATTTTTAAAGCTGCAGCTAATTCTAATTTCATGAAATTGTGAAAGTATCAAAGGTGATTCGACAAGGATTTTTGTAAAAGACGACAAAACAAATAACGTTCATAATGAAATAATATTCGTTTCGGATCTCGTTCACAAATAAAGAATTTAGTATAATCGCGTCGAAATTTGAAAATACATTTACAATTCTTTTGTCCTGTTTTATAAAAGGTAAAAATTTGAACAATGACAAAGTAAGTAGATGATACAAAAGAACCTGTACAAATTATACACAGTAAATATATATGTAACAGAGACAAAATATTTAAATGTTATTTTTGTTACCAAATAAAACAATTGAATAAAACTATGTTTTCATTTTTAAATTCAACATGTCGTGTACGCTTTTGATTTTTATTTTTAAAATTTTAGAACAATTAATTAAATCAGAAAAACCTGTCCTTTAAAAAAATCATAAATATTTCCTTATCGACTATTCATTTAGCTTTTTTATTGATTAAAGGGTTGTGGTTAGATAAAAATCAAATCAAATCAACTTAAAAAGAAACAATACAAGATCTTTCCATGGTTTCATTGGTTCCATTATGTGCACAATGTTGCACTAATGTTCACAATACTTTTAATTACCAGCCGCTCTAGTGATTTTCCGCATAACTCTACTCAGAAATGTTTTACGTCGATTTTAATCTTCCCAACTCCGACCGATTTTGCCGCTTTATTCCGCAACAGAGCGGTAAACTTTTCAATTTTTATCAGCTCGCCGTATGGACGCCGGTAGCGTAGCGATGGCGTAGCTATGGCGTAGACGGTGGCTTGTTTGAGTTACGGCTCCGATCGGGCTGGGTTGCGATTATGTCCCTATCAATAGACTGAACTTTACCGTTCTCTGAAATACAAAGATTTCGTTATTGTCCACTGACATTTGCGGACAGTAGCAAACATTAATCTTTTAGGTAGACGTTTAAGTTTTCTCTTATCAACTATTAAGATGGATAAAGTTATTATTCTTAACTGTCTTTTTTGTATACGGCTTCCCAAATGATGCAAACTTTACCTATGGTGTATTTGACAACTATTCGCTTTTGAACATTTTAAGTTCAACTACATATGCTGATTCAAGAACATATTACTATCATTTTCAACTTACCGTTTAATAAAACGTTCTAATAGTTCAGTACAGAATCTATAGGAATGGGTAAATTTTGTTAGTTAGTTTAGTCGTCGGTAAGTACTTTAGGGGTACCTATAAGAGTTCTAACGTTTTTACCTTGATCCTAATATTTTAACTATTACTTAACTTGACTTTTAACAACTATTATAACAACAAGCAGAACTATTGGTTATATCACCGACCGGGTCCGCAACCAAAATCCAAGTCCGCTGCTACATGCGACCATGTGTCCCTTGGCTCGAGTAGATAACGTCATATCCGGTATACAGTGTTGCCAGCGCCAACATACCTGTTAGCAAAAAAATTTTTTATGTGTGTAAGTGGCAGTCGAGCTGGCAGCTCACCGGATGTTGAGTGATAACCGCCGCCCATGGACATTTGCAACACCCGTAGGGTTACAAATGCGTAGGTACCTTTAAGTAAAGTTGGCCCCGGCTACCTCACTCACCAGATATCCTGCCTATTCTTGCAACAGTGTACACTGTTGGGTGGCCCTACCACAGTTAACAAATTATAACAATTCTGTTACATATTTACAGTGGTATAATTTGGTAGAGGTGATCGCTACAAATAGTCTTTCAATACATTGATACATTGATTTCGCAATAAAATTGTAACCGCTCACACATTACAACTGCCATCGAGAACGTGTCACATTTTTCACGTGGTTAACTTATTGCTCCGAGCGTGATATCAGACATCCGCTATTGAATATGTATATGTTTAAGATATAATGGTTTATTATTTATCGAGGCTTAATCGAAGGGGGGAGGGGAACCATAATTTATGCCTGAAATGATAGTAATTGAATTATTATATTGTGGCTAAAATATAAAAGTAAGTAAAAAGTAAAGTAACAGCCTATACATGTCCCACTGCTGGGCAAAGGCCTCCTCTATACAGAGGGTATCAGGGCATAGCCCACCATGCGGCCCCACTGCGGATTGGCGGACTTCACATATTTTCGAAATACATTTTTTTGTTATTATTTCGAAAATATCCAGGTTTCCTCACGATGTTTTCCTTCACCGCGGAGCACGTGATGATTCAGCACTTAAAGTTAAAAACTTCATTGGTGCCGGCACTGGGGATCGAACCCAGGTTGCTCGAGTATATATTGAATTAAAGGCGAGCGCCCGGACACTGAGCTATCACGGCTCAGTCAAGACAGATGTCCCAAAGGGCTAAAATATAAATAAATAAAACTAAGCGGCTCAAAAAGGTTACACACATTTCAATTTATGATCAAATTACCTAATTAAAATCCGTCTCCTAGACTGACAGTATCTAATTTGCTACATAATCTTTATTTTAACCGGATCACATCTATATTATTCCTTCCAGGTATTTTGAAATATCTAAAGTAATCCATGCCAATTACTCCCACATAAAAAAACAAGAGAAAACGAACGTGAAGAAAAAGTTATTTTCATTTATTTAATTAACTTGGATCGGTAAAAAAAAACAAAATTTTCAAAACAAATGAAAGGAGTTTTAAACAAAAAAAAGTTTTTTATTCGAAGAATTGTTTATCTCAGGAATGTTTTGCTTCGTTTTCATAACGAACATGGCTTTTAATTAAAGTATCTGTTTTGTAAACATCGAGAATATAGTTATTTATATTAAAATTTCGCTTTTGCTGTTACTATCGTTACACGGCGTTTGTTTATGTTTTCTGTTTTATATTTGTACTATACAACCTTGTATAGTCGAAAATTGAAATGACGTTGTAAAAAATATACTTACTGTCTCTTTTAATTTTTTTAATTCCTTTTACTGCAATGATCGGTGGCAATAAAATGGAATTATAGAAATTTTAAATGCCCCGTGGTGTAAATATGAATAAATAAAAAACTTAAATTGAAACAATGATGACAGTAAAACCATTTCACGCATTTTACGTTCATCGCTTCTTTTTAGGGTTCCGTACCCAAAGGGTAAAAAGGGACCCTATTGCTAAGACTCCGCTGTATGTCTGTCTGTCTGTCCATCTGTCACCAGGCTGTATCTTATGAACCTGATAATTGAACACTTGAAATTTTCACAGATGACGTATTTCTGTTGTCGCTATAACAACATGTACTATAGAAAACAGAATAAACATTTTTAAGTGGGGCTCCTATACAACAGACATTTTTTTTGTCGTTTTTATAGATAATGGTAAGGAAACCTTCGTGCGCGAGTCCGACTCACACTTGGCCAGTTTTTTTTTAATGTTTATCAATAGGATTGACAACATTTGCAATCTGAATTTGTTAGTGAGCCATGACCATATAAAAGAAGTTTATGTAACAATATATTTAAAAACAATCAGTCATTGCGTCATGAAGTTTCCACACCCATTTATAATTCCACATTGATAACATTAGCTTTTAAAAAAAAAAAATATGGTTGAAGTTATCTCACTGAAATAAAAATATTTTGCGACAAACAACAGAAACGAATTCATATATCTCATGCAATCTCACTCACTATACATTTTATATTTGATTTTGAGGACTTCTCCGATGTATCTCCAGAGTTCAAGGTCCGATGTCAAATGAAATTAATATGAGACCACACGGGAGCTCAACCGAACCCAATACAAAAATAATTTTTAAAACCAGTTCGTGAATGACGGGGTTCTGAGGTAACAAACATAAAAAAAGAACCAAATAGTAATCTCCCATTTTATACTCTGTTGAAAAATACAATATATAACTGCCTTCTCATATTTTTGTAATTTTTTCATGTTTCATGAAACTATTTTAACTTGGACCGCCATACGATAGTGATGTGCCCTAGGCATTCTACTTTTATAACTTGACATAATTCTATAATGTTTTATTTTATGCGAGAAGGTGGCAAACGAGCTGGATTTTCGCCTGATGTTAAGTGATAACCGCCGTCCATTGACATTTACAACACTCGTAGGATTGTAGATGCGACGCCATCTTTTAATAAAATGACCTCCGGCTACCTCACTCACCAGACGATACGCAGAAGTATAACACTTCCACTTCACGCCGGTCTTCTGTCAGGTCCTGGACAGACAGACAGACCTGCACCTTCGTGCAATAGAGAAGAATGCCCTACCTAGGTTAGGGTAGGTAGAGTTAAAAATCCCGGGGCGGCAGATGTGGGACTAACTGCTGCCCCGTGGAGGGCTTGAGAGGGGTGCCGTGTTCATTGCACCGACACGGCACCATTTGGCTGGACCGGGTGTCCTTAACACCCGGGGAGAGGAGGCCTGCGAAGGCCACAGTCGCGCCGGGGTTCGCGGAAGATTGCGTTTTCGTGTTCCCGTGTCCCCGGCAAAGCGATAGCGTAGGTGCAACGTGGGTTTTAGTGGGTACGTGTAACTCCCACATACCCCTGCTCCCACATTACCCACAAGGCGGCGGGGGATCCATAAAGGATTTTTCCCACGTTAAAAAAAAGGTAGAGTTAAAAATAAATTGGGATACGTCATTTCTATTGTTTCATGGAACATGTCTTTATCAAATATGGTACTTACCCGGATGGATCTGCCCATTCGTGCAACAGAGAATGCTGTTGCATGGCCCTACCTAGGTTGGGGTTAAAAATAATTTGTGACACGTAATTTACATTGTTTTATCAAAAGTGTAAGAAAATATGCGACTCCAACAGAACATGCTGGCCAAGAAGTTGATCGTTGCCGCGGCGCTGCTGCTGGCCATGGTTTTCCTCGCCGAGGCCAGGGATGACGGGCCTCATGACATGGCAGACGCCCTCCGCATGCTGCAGGAGCTCGACCGCTACTACACCCAAGCTGCCAGACCGAGGTATGTCATCTAATCTATTGTCAAACTAAAAACAGGTGCAGTCAGTGTTTAACTTTGAACAGCCGAAAACGATGAAAATGATTTATATGGTGGTGTCACAATTATAGCTGACGCTTTGGCTTTTTATGACGATGAGCAAAACTCATCTTACAAAGGAATGGAAGAAAAAGATATGTGTGTACTAATGTACGCACTTAAGTAGTAATACTCTGATCTAACAAAATAAAAACAATTTAGTTGTTTTTATTTTGATAACGGTTTAATTTTTAATAACATGGAGTTATTATAGATAAATGTCAAACCGTTGTTACTCGCTGCGATGGTAATACCGTGAAATGGTCGCTTTGAAATCAAATTCAGCACGTCAATTTTTCTCTCTAAGTGTTCGCGCGCATCGTAAAAATTTTACTCTCAAAAGTTTTTCCAAACGTTTTTCCAAACGCGCCAAAATAAGTACATAATACTATTCTAGTTTTCTCATCGGATTATGCAGCGAGTGTCTTGGAGGCAATAGTGAACACATTCTTACAAAGCTGTACCGCACACCATCAAACATTACATCTTTACTTTTCGCCATCAGGTGACGTGATAGTGACGTGCTAAAACAAGTGTAATAAATTTCAAAAGGTCTCGAGAAACAAGTGAATATTTAGGCTTAACGTTAAAGGTGCAAATTCGTTATTGCTGACTATTTTAACTTTTTAGACTTTAATAAACTAACGCCATTACGAACAAATAGAAAAAAGCATGATAAATGTAAGGACAGTTGATATTGCTGATATTTGCGACCCACAGACGCTATTCGTCTTTAGAGCTTAACTAAATAGCTAGGAAAATAGATAGGCTTGGTGTTGCGCAGGTATGTTCAATTTAGAAGATGTTTATAGTAATATTACACCTCCATATTTTACCTCTTGCAAATTGCGTTGGTTGTCTGCTGTTTGATAAATCATTCCGGAGTGATGGATAGATTACTTTTTTCGCGTCTCAATGTTGTATCAGCCTAAGAGTTGACTCTCTACGATCATTTATTCGAACATGCGACGGAGAGTGAAAATGTAAGTCATTTCTTTTCGATTTAACATTTAAATTTTAACATCTGTATTTGTCAAGTAACTGTTAAATGTTTTAAATGACTAACGTCATCAGAAAATTGTCACAGAAAAATTAAATAAAAATTCTCATGAATGATAGCACATTAACTTTAGACGCCACGGTTAATGATAGTTATACTCGTAGCATTGCAACTGGGGTGTAACGGAGGCGGTGTAATATCGCAGTCGATCATCAGAGGGGAGATTGCTCTCGCTGATAATGGAATCTGGCCTATAGCCAATATTTAAGTACAAGAATAAAAGCTCTCCTAAGAACTTTTCTGTATACTTGAAAGCTATGGTGCTCCGAGTATGTCGGTTGATTATTCATGTTAAGTACACTTAGTTGCATGTGGTGGTCGAATTAGGTGTTACTACAGCCAATTAAATCGTCAATAAACACTTTGCAATAAAAGTTTTTTTTTTTTAATTTTGTATGGTGTACTATTGGCGTTAATGAGGGACAAAATGAGATGAGTTACGGTTTTGATTTTTCTTAAAAGATATGATACAATTGTATATAAGAAATAAAAAAAAAAAAATATCCTTAGCTATTAGAGACACGCATATTAAGTCGAATTTTGAATGTAAAAAATTTCGCGTTATTCTCCCACTTATGAAGCTCATGTATTCGTATTTAGGTCCGACAAGTCGATTTCTATGGCAGCTTTTAACACAAATTTCAAAGCATTGTTGGAGTATTTTGCTTGATACGTGATCGCTTTCATCTTTCAAGGGCTATTTTCTGCAATTGAACGAAGCGTTCATGCCTTTTAAAGTGCATTTTATACATAAGTTCTGTACGTTGCAAGCAATTTTCACGTAGTTGCTACCGTTATTATGGCCCCAACGGGCATAGGCGTGTTCTCACAGGTCAGCCAGCAGAGACAAGATAAGGCCTGATGTCAAGGGGAAAATTACAGTGCGCGGTTTGAAACAAGCCGTAAACACTACTCTGTTTTGTCTTATTGCTCTGCTCGCTCAAAATGGGATTGCATACGAAAACAATTTGCTGTACCTCTTAAAGGGAACAATGTACTTTCCTTTTGGCAAGAGCAATTTCGTTTCATGTATTTAAGTGAATTAAATATAAGTTTGAGTTATTATTAAGGAAAAGACCAGGAAGTTTAGTAAAAGCCAAGATACAGAATCATTAAATTGTAAATGTGATGAGTGACACATTGTGAATGGTTAAATACTTTTTAAGACTTTGACGCCTGGTTTCTAAAACACTGATTATCGTAGAAATGAATTAATCAGCTGTAAAATGGCTTTTCAAATGTCATTTGAGTTGCCAAAGAGATGGTTAAACACTTGATGATGGTTGAATTGATCATTCTGATCAATAAGAAGATCATTCTGATTAATTCAGAGAGTTTAACGATCATTTTGGCTAAAATTAAATTTGAACCAAAATGATGGTTAGCACACAACTCAAATGAAATTTGAAAAGCCATTTGACAGCTGATTAGTTAACTTCTGCGATGATCATTATTTCAGAAACCGGGCGTAAGTTAATCTTTATAATTTTGAATTAACTGGTAATTTATTGTTGATTTTTTTAACAAATCCTTACGCATGCACTTGGGAATTGAATATTTGTCTGGTACTTAACCGTAGAAGTATCTAGTTCTATTGTTATTATCCTAAATATATTAAGTATTAATATGTTACCTAATTTTGTTTATGGCAACACCATTATCGTGGTTAAAGTGTCTCTTTTGGTCCCTTTATACGGTGATGCATTATTTGGAGTTGCTACGCGTAGTGACATATAAAATGCTTAAATATTGATATTAATAATACTTCATCGTTTCTTCATAGCTCATTTGGAATCGAATAATAATCGAATATACATAAGTAATTAATGTACAACAAGATGTCATGTAAATTTTAAAGGATTAAATGGAAAAATTTTAACGGTGTAGGGCCACGCAGCAGCCTCGACTTAACGGTGTTAGGGCCACGCAGCAGCCTCGACTGTTGCACGAATGGGCAGGCTCGTCCGGGTAAGTACCACGACCTCACAGAAGACCGGCGTAAAGTGGAAATATGACAAATACTTTCGCGTTTCGTCTGGTGACTGAGGTAGCCGGAGCCCAATTTCCAAAAAGGTTGTCAACGCATCTGCAAACCCTCGGGTGTAGCAGATGTTCATGGGCGGCGGTATTCACTTAACATCAGGTGAACCGTCTGCTCGTTTGGCAACTGTTCACATAAAAAAAAATTGAAATGGCTCTAATATAACCTTGAATAAAGACTTAATACTTTTTATGGAAAAGCGTAATGTAACATTCTAAGTCGATTTTATTTTAATAAAGCTTTGTAACAATCATACATAGTCTTAATATTATTACGGAAAATTCTTAAGTGCAAGAAAAAACAAAATTTTTTGGTACAAATTTTCGTCGATTACAGAATTTATGGTATCTTGGGTTATATTAAAGTCAGAACTCTTAACTATACTGTCCTTAGAGCAACATTTCGTGTTATATTTCATTATGACATACTTGCTTACTTAAATATTTATATTAATAAGGATCAGTTTTCAGTCCCAATGCAATCTGTCTTAGAGGTAAGAGTGAATAAGCGTTTACTGAGGGCAAACATTGCATATTCTCAGGTGGGATAATAGACAAGTAGGTACTAGCCATTATTTGTAAAAACCATGGAACATTGTGATAAATACACATGAAGTACTAGGATAATAAACTGCGCTCGCTATAATTATGTAGATGTGAATTAACACGTGGATATTAAGAGTGAGGTAAAAATCAAAAGAATATTACTCGTATAACGTGCCCAGATGTTAAATGTTTAGAGAACGATGACCTAAATATGACAACCGGCTTTGATAAACACTTTTCGCTGTTATTTCATGCTCCACATGTATAAAATTAATGCTAATGCGATCATAAAAATTCGTTTATTTCAATGTCCACCCCAAGTTACATCCGCTGGCCTGAACCCTGAAACAAAAAACATGATGCCTTAAAAACGATCCGTATATGAGTACGGGACTAAAAAAATAAGTAACCAGCTTACTCCCAAGACAAACATACTGTTAAAATTATACTGTACTTTATTCTTTTTCGTTTTGGTATCAAGTAGGTAAAGTAACAAGCCCATATATGTTTGAACGGTCATTGACGGATTTCACATATATTTGAAAGATTTTTTATTTATTACTAGATTTTCACCCGCGGCTCCGCCCACGTATACTACATTTTAAGAAGTAGCTACGGAACCCTTCGTGCGCGGCTCCGACTCGCATTTGGTGATTTTTAACTTTATATAAACTCAAAACCGTCATCATTTTACAGACCATAGTATATAGTTAGCGACCCGCCCTGGTGTCGCACAGGTGCGATATATTATACATATAAACCTTCCTCTTTAATCACTCTATCTAGTAAAAAAAACCGCACGAAGATCCCTTGCGTAGTTTTAAAGATCTAAGTATACATAGGGACAGACAGACAACGGGACGACTTTGTTTTATTCTATGTAGTGACTATAGTTTCATCCAATTCGAATGTAGCTATTCCTAGCTGCTGCCCGCGCCTACGTCTGCGTACAGTAGGCTGAAGGCGTAACATCATGACTGAAAGACTGACATACATAATAATATGTATACAAATTATAGCTTATGTCTTATTCTGATGTATAAGCTATATTATTGTAAAGTTTCATTAAAATTAATTCAGTAGTATTTGCGTGAAAGAGTAACTAACAAACATTCATCCATACATACAAACTTTCACCTTTATAATGTTAGTAAGGATATAGCATTTTATCGCACAAATCTTCAATGTGGTTATTTAAGTTGATAAATTAAATGTATAGATTACTATTTCGAAAAGGCACTAACGTAATCAAGATGATTACGTTCGTGCTTTGATAATG